TATATCTCCCCAAGCGGGCTATCTTGAAGCTGTCGCCCAACGTAAGGATGGAGAGGAGCCTTGACGTGAGCAAAGGTGAACTCCTTCAAAACAAAAGGTGTCGGTTCTGAAAGGATCGCAGGACGTACCGTGATTGGTACCGGCAAAGGCCGTCAAACGAGGTGTAGCTGGTCAACCGCGTGTTCCGAGAGGAGGTTCGTCCCTGCACCGGTATCAATTAGAACACGAAGGGGTACCCCGTTCAAAAGCCAGCTCATAATCAGGGTCTTGCCATACATAGAATAATCAGGAGAAGCTTCGTACTCAGCCGCCTCCACAACATCGTCATCGGCTGGCCCGTTCAAGTGGTTGATCAATTGCTCGTAAGCAGCTAGATCTGCACGTCCCAGGTCAGGAAAGTTACCCGTCGCCGCAACATCCACCGAACTTTGACCCGTTTCCACCGTCGCCACGTCCACACGACGAGATGGTCTCGCACCACCTGTCGGCACTGCAGGTTTAGATGGTGGGATAGGTGCGCCACCCTTGGCGGATGGATAGGGTGGTGCTCGCGGGAACTCCATAGGAACGGAAAAAAACGTAGCACTAGGTCTCGCTTCGCAACCTCCCAACCACTTGTTGCACGAGGTTTTGCAGCGAGGACATAAGCCGATGGATCGCATGTAAGCGCCAAAACGGACATTACGGGCTTGAAGCTCTTCAGGCGACAGAGGAGGACCGTTGGCGTTCGAAGCCGCCGGATTAACCGAGTGAGTCGATCTAGGATGAACAACTGGTGTAGTACCCGCTGCAGTCGAGGAGGGTCCCGCCGTCGATTGTGATCGGCCACCGTTCCGCCCGTCAATTGATTGGGCAAGGAGCCAAATGGAACCGAGTCGATCCTCGAAGACAGGGAACGAGAAGCGCTTCGTTAGAGGGTCCAGGCTGTTCTTCACGACGCGCTCCATCTTGATCCACGCCTTAAACGTCCCTGATGTCCCTCCCACTACCGCCTCAGCCAAACTCTCATCACTACAGTCATCAACCCCAATTTCCTCTTGAATCATCCTAGCCCGTCCACAATAAGCTGTTACCGACTCATTCCCCTTCATGGCTAATTCACGTAAGCGCTCCTTAGCCGCTTCATCCCAACCAACCGGCAACACCACACCTTGCATCTCCAACATCACAGACTCCCACGTCTTACCCTCAAAGTTGTGTTCCGATCGCCGGCACCAAGACGAAGCCGGGTCATTTGCCAGGACCATCGGGAGTATACGAAACCGATCTTCCGGTCGATCAATTTGTTTGACGCGGAAGGTGGTCTCCATCTG